CCGAATTTCAACAATTCCGGGGTGTACCAATAAATAAAAAACACAATAACGTTTGAGCCGCCCATCCCATCATTCTTTGGGCGTTCCCGCACTGCACACGAAACGAAAAACGAAACGAATGAATCTTCCCACAGAAAATGGCCAGGTTCATCGGTTTGCTATAAATGGTAACGAGTGTATTTTGCCACCTTTGTTGCAGATGCAGTCGTTTCGTTTTCGTTTCGTGTGCCGTGCGGGAGACCCTTTCTTTCTTCCGTTTCTTTATTCTTCTTTTCCGCTCTTTTCATTTCTTTTTCATTTTTGTTCTTTTCATTTGTTTCCTTTTGTTCTGTGCCGCACTTTTTTTTGCCCCCAAGAGTCTGAAGAGTACGATAATTCGTCGAATGGGTAGTGTGGTGGTGGCGCCATGGGCTCCCTGCACTACTCTTGACATGCACAAAAGACAAAAATCATGGCCGCGTATGTTTCCATATTCTAGCGGAAGATTCACTCTCGTTTTGCACATTTCAAGAGTAGGGGCCTCGCTGCATTACTCTTGAAAGGTGCAAAACGAGAGTGAATCTTCTGCTAGAACATGGAAAGATACAGCCACATGATTTTTGTCTTTTGTGCATTTCAAGAGTAGTGCAGCGAGGCCCTAGTGCAGCGACGCCCCATTTCATTTCGTAATGCCGCCGGCATGGCGATCGTGGGCCTACAGATTCTGAAGTAGATGGTGGTGCACATGCAATCATATATAGTAGGCCTAGCAGTGCAGGCGGAGCATAGTCCTGGGAAGTGCTTAGCTTCGGGTGAGAGAAGAGGGTGGCGGTGGTGGAGAAGCCGCAGGAGGTCGGCGCAATTGTTCTGCTGCGGCGGGACGAACGAGAGCGGGGAGAGCAGGGAAGAGAGAGGTGGGAGGGGGAAGAGGGCGGAAAGAGCGAACGGATCGGGCGTTTGCGAGCGTCCGGTCTGGACCTCAGTCCTCTGCTCTTTCTCGCGGCGCCTCCATATTTCCCCTCTTCGCTGTTGCTCAGTTGTTGTTTTCTGTTCTTTCCCCACAGATTGGAGGGAGAGAAGGCTAGATGCATAGGGATTTCTTGGAGTCCATCTCTCTCTGCTCCGCGTCGGTGTCACACCGTTCTCTCAGTCCGGTGGTAGCCGCTCGATACTAGATCTGGACTCTTTTTTTCAGTTCAATTTCTTTTTTTTTTGTCGATCTACCTGTGAGTTTGACCTGCCGCCATCTCCCTGTTTGAATAAGTAGTAGTAGTAGTAGTAGTAGTAGTATTTTGTAACTACTACTACTACTAAGTAAAGACTGGTAGATCGTGTTCTTCCTTTATCTATGAGATAAGCAAGCACATACACATAGCAACAAGACTGGCATCTGCTCTGCTTGCCTTGCCCCGGCGCTCGAATTCATCGCTGTTACGAGTAACCTTTAGGACAAACAAACGAGTACTATACTACTATTTACTTAGCCGTTTTTTTTTCTTTTTCTTTGGTCATTTGGACTGCTGCCTCCCTTCTCCCTCTTCGTTCCTTTTAGTTCTAGTTTGATTCGATTGCGCTTCTTTTGACTGCAGTGCTGAGCAATCCAGCGGCGGGTAATCTGCGTCAGGGCTGCGCAATCTCAGAGGCTGATGCAAACCGTTGGAGCGGAGATGGCAGTCGCCAGCGGTGAGGTGGAACAGACGAAACAGGTGCGGAACATAACTATATACCCTTATCCCTCCTTCCATGCGTTGGAATTACGCGGCGATCTCGGGGGCAAGAGTAGCGTGTAAAACAACGAGCGACCGGAACATCATCACGAATTGATCTTCATTGTTGACTCTTAAAGACTTGCCTTGATGTTGTCTTTGCCCATTTTCCGATTGAAGAATCCGATTGGCGTTGTGAATGCGTGTTATATTATTATTACTTATGTTATTATTACTAACTCAGCAACGCTACCTGCAGTTAGGCCTGGGAATCGGATTGTCGACCAAAACGCGAGTTCCAGTGCCGCGGATGAACGAGGGAAGGCCATCACATCACAATTCGTGGTTCGTCCTGAGAACAATGGGCCTCACTGCACTGCAGACGAAACGAAAAACGAAACGATTGCATCTTCCCACAGAAAGGGGAAATGATTCATCCCTTTATGATAAAAACAGTAACGAACGTAGTTTACCACCTTCTGTGGGCGGGTGCACCCGTTCGTTTTTGCTTGTTTTGTGTGCCTTGCAGCGAGGCCAATGGCCCTTCCTACCCTGCTGCCAGTACCTCGATCCATCAAGGTCAACGGTGGTGATGATTTTTGGCTTCATTTAATTTAATAATTCAAATGATTGATTTGAATGTTGAAGCTCGCCAACAACACTGCCTCTTTTTCATTTTTCTTCTTTCCCTCTCTCTCTCTCTCTCTCTCTCTCTCTCTCTATATATATATATATATATATATATATATATATATATAGATATATATA